GTAGTGATGCGAAGGTACCTCTGTGGTGTAGTGGTAGCACGCGTCCTGGTATGGATAAAACGGGGGGTTCAACTTCCGTCTAAGGTCGTACTTTTGCTCAACTCCCAATTCTCTTAGGTATATCAAACGGCATGTTTTGTTCTTTATTAAATAGCCTTGAAAATTTCACAGTTTTCCTAGATACGAGAAATGTTACTGTTTTGACTTGACTGCTAGACTAGAAGATTTGAGAAAGATATGATGCTCAGCGAATCCCTAAGGCAAAGAGGACCCAATGGGCTACTCTTGCACGCGAAAGGGAAAAATGGAAGTGGTGCCGGTGAACGCTCGAGTCACTCGACGATCATCCGGACGGCAGATGATAAGGGTGACAAAAATGTTATGCTAATATAAATATATGGTATGGTATGGTATGTCCAGGCACTGAAGACAGCGAAATTGTTAAAACATCGGCCGTCATTTACAAAGGGGCATAACTGCCGCGAACCTCCAAAAACGATGATTTATATGACTGGTCTAATTATTAACGCCATCTTGTGAAAACTGGACACTCGCCTTGACAGAATTTTTCTTTGGTGAGCTAAAATTAAGGCAAGGAGAAATTCTTGCAGCCGTATGGGTTTGAAATTGTTCATTAATCACAGAAGTTACACTGTGCCCAATCTACCGCAACATTGTTACAATGAATTTCCTGGACTATGCAAATGCTTAATCCCTATCATATGTTGAACCTCGGTTCTAACCATACAGTGGACACGTGCTTACTATTACAAAGCAAATCGGAAGGTAAGCGTAATCTTCCAGTTTATCTTTTTTTAGGTAGTAGAGTCTTTTGTGTTCATGTTTCACAGTTGGCATTTTACCTAAAAAAAAACTTATTGAACGCATGCGTTGACAAAGAAGAACTCTTTTCTGTGCAAAAATTGTGTAGCAAAGAGAGGCTTCAAAGCAATCTATGAAATGAATTTCTACATGAAAACCACTTTAGTCAACTATCGCAACACCAATAATAAAGTCAAAATCCTCAAACAGCAGTTGAGTCACTAAGCGAGATGTGTATAGACTTCCAGAAAGAGAATCAATCATCAAGAGGTCATCAAAAATGCAAGAAATATTTCGATTCTCTCAGGAGTATGTGTGATGGTAATTAATCAACATGAAAAGAATAGTTTGTGTCAACTGATACATAACTATGGTACTTTTGACACTCTTCTATGAGAATCGCATACGTGACTTGGTATTCGCCAACACTTTTGTTCACGGCAAATCTCCGTTCTAGAGCAACAGAAAGAATAGAATCGTCATGACTGATCATTCTTAAGCTGAGTGCAAGATTAAGAAATAAGATGTTGTCCAAAAGGTTGTCCTGTATAATGTGAGCTTGTCAATTTTTTGATTTTCATGGCGCAACGTGATTGTGTCACTTCACACATCCTCCTTATCAGGACAGCAAAATAATCATGGCTGATATTGTAAGCGGAAGAGGACACTTCAGAAACAGCATAATAGTTTTCAGTTTCCAAAGCGAGTATGGTACTTTGTTCCTCAACCCTGTCGAACGGAATGTATAAATTTCCATAAGCACTTCTACGAACTTTCATGGTAGAATAAGTTCATAAGCACTGTTTCTACCAGTAATGTTCCGATGTAGGACCTGTCTTCAGAATCAGAATCCCATCGGACCGGTATATCTATTAACCTCAGGCAATTAGGTTTGATAATGAATCGTATCTACCTTCGTTTAGCCGCTCCGAGGAATGTTAATTAGCTTAGTTTCAGGCTATTGAATATCAGCGATCCTTTTCTTTCTCAACCCTGTGAGACGGAATGTAAATTCATAAGCACTCTACAGAACTTCATGTTAGGAAAACTTTTCTTTAGAATAAATCCAGGCGCATCTATAACCTCGGCATGTTTGAAGAATCAGATCCTTCTGTTTAGCCGCTCCGAGATGTTATTAGTAGTATTTATTGAATATCAGCGAAGCATATAACAATACAATTAATAATTCGGCGCCCCTACACGGATGGTCTAGCGAGGATAAAGTTCCATTCATCCTGCCTTTTATTTTTAGCGAAGTGAGTGCGGCCATTAAACGCTGCTTGAAAAGAGCACGTTTAGATAATTCGGTAGCAGTAGTCGAGATACCACCAAAAACACTAAAACGCCAGTTAGTCAGCAACCGGCTGGATAATTGTCTCTGGGAAACCAACAACTGCAAAGTTTGCCCAAACGGCAGAGACGGCGACTGCATGAGGTCGGATACAATTTACCTGATTTCTTGCGAGGCATGCGGGGATGAATATATTGGCGAAACGGGTAGACCACTCTGCATCCGCGTGAAAGAGCACCTAGTTGGGAAACGTAACTCCTACCCAAAAACCCCACCAGGCACGCATAAGGAACAGAAGCATAAGGGAGCAGATTTTGAAGTTAAAGTGACGGTCCTTGCACAGGAATCGAAAACGTCTACGCGTAAAACTTTGGAAGCCTTCTGGATTCATAGCAAAGGCCCAAAAATGAACCGCAAAGAGGAATGCCTCGTAGTAACGCGTGACCTAGCATCATATCTCACGTTAATGTTCCCGACCTGAACCAGGCACAGTCTCACATTAGCACAGACTCCAAGTGGCAGGCTTCAATGATTAATTGAACGACCTAAAACATCTAAGCGGTGAGTGTTTTTGAAATGAAAGTTTTCTATGCGACCCAAAAATTTATCTCTTACGTTTTCTGCTAGGGTTATAAAGGCTTTTGATGTAATAATTTGCGAATCATTTTGACCTTTCCAGGCTCTGAAGATGGCGAACCATGCCGAAACGTTAGCCACCACGACTGTTGTAATATTCGTGCTGCATTATTAACTGTATTGTTATATGCTTCGCTGATATTCAATAAATACTATTAATAACACTTCGGAGCGGCTATACAGAAGAAGATACTGATTTTGCTTTAGACTTTTCGTAATCATTCGAAAAGTCGGCACTTTCAGTACTGTGTTTGGTTTATATGGAGTTTTCCTTATTGCGTTACAGCCGCAAAAATAATATTATGTTTGACATTCAATTTGCTTTTCTTGCTTGGCTTGAGTCTGGGGGTGGCCTTTTGCCAAATAAGTGGCAGTCATTCGATAGCATAAATCCCGTAAGTTCTGATGTTTAAATTTAGTTTCTTGAAAGGCTTGCACAGAGCTCTGTTAGAGCAGCAAGAAAATCGTGTTCCGCAATCGAACTGTCCGTCGTTAGATCATCATTGAGGGCATATTTGGCAACAGCAATCTAAAGAGAAGCCTGTACCTATGTGGCTAGAACAAAGTTTCTTCCACAATTGCAGTACAAAAAATCAAGAAATTCTTTTGAAATGGAGAGAAAAGATTACTAAGTAACTTACCAAATCGCACTCCTAATGACGCTGCTCGCAACGAATTCCAACAGCCCCATCAATTTTTCTAATATTTGGAGAAAAATAAATTGAAACTGTAGAACAGGCTTTATTCTATCGTTCTACGGGTGCACAGTTTTTTCTTGTTTTACATTGCCAAATGAAGCCGCTATAATGTCCGTGCAACGGATAAACTACTCTGAGTGCAAAACGTGATTTTCTTTTTGCTTCAGTACGCTTTATGTAATGTAGCAAAGGCAGTTCAGTGGTAATATTGAGTTGTTAGAGTTGCTTATGCCACGCCGGACTTTTATCAGTTACTTCTGTACCAAATTACTTGTCTTGGATTATCGTTTATCACTATGATAACAAAACAACAATAACAATGGTTATATAGGGTGATTGCTCTTAGCGTAGACATCAGAAGAAGAGAAGGTCGAAGAGAGCAAGTCGAAGAGAGAGAGAGCATGTCGAAGTGGAGCCTAGAACTAACCTTCGACCAATTATACACGCTTCCTCAGAGGGCAGGTTTTTGGTTAGAGTATAGCAAAGTTAGAGCTGGATTGGAAATTTCAGAATAAGATTGTAGAGCACACATTGACAACAACTTCGCGTCAAAAGGTCAAACACCAAACAAGCTGGATTACGCGAGTGATTCAAAAGCAAAAAGAGAGGTCATTCATGTTAGGTTAGTCATGAGAGTGTTTGGGCACTTACTGTAAGCATGATCTAAAGTGCATCGAAAGTGCAATAGCCATTGTTGCATAACATGGGCTTACGAAACATGGAAGATGAAGATGTCTCATCCGAGATTGATAATCTATGCTCAAGAAGAGGCAGACAGCATCAGAACTTTTTCTGACGCTATCTACATGTAAAACTTGTCAAAAAATCAATTTAAACCTCAAAGCTGTCGAGGTTTGAGAATGTATCATGCCAATTCCATGGAAAAGCTATCAAAACTTTGCTCTAAAAACAAAGCAGTTTGAATATGGAGCAAGTCTTCCGCTTTATATCTAACTTACAAAAAGACTAGACGAAAGATATGATTTTCAACGAATCCCAAGAGCAAGAATGACCCACTGGGCTACCAGTGCAAGCCAAAGGGAAAAATGGAAGTGTCACTGGTGCCCGCTCGAGTCACTCGGCGTACAACAGGTGATACAGGTGATAGATCGCAATAAAAAAAATTTTTTGAGACCAAAACATTATTAAAATTGCCAGAATTCTAGTTTTCGATAGATTAGTAAAAGTTCGGATAAAAAGTTCATTCAACAAGTAAAACCTTCAGAAGATCATGTAATCAAATGAATACATTCCGTCCCAAAAGGATTAATCATCACGTCACTTCAGCCTTGTATTCCACTGTATTTCTCCTTACCCTTTTCTCAATATACTCAACGGAGTTCGACAAGCCTCCAAACGCAGTGTTACATTTTCCGTCCTTATCTGTTATATAAAAATGTGTAATTTATGGTCATCGGTCAGACTACTCATGATGCTGAGAAGAAGCAATCTAGGCGACCCATTTGAAGGTCCAATCCACTGAAAGTTTTGCAGCAACAGCAACATATGATGTTTAAATAAATCCAGTGATGTAGAGTGGCACGCAACACGTTTGCGTCAGCCGGAAATTGAACCCAGATCTTACTCTTTCCGGGAGCATGTGCTTAACCGTTGCACCACCGACGCTCGTTTTGCGCTCCACTCTTTCTACGCTACAACACGTTATCTGTCAACAGCTAACCGTCTACGGTGTGGCGGGGCAGTCATTATCGACATTGAACCTACTTTTGTTGACAGATATTGGGTTCAATAATCAATTGGAAATCAGATCCCGGAAAGAATAAGATCTGGGTTCAAATCCCGACTGACGCAAACGTTTTTGCACGCCACTCCGCATCATTGGGTTTATTTAGACATCATAACACCGCAATCAGCGGTCAAATAAAAATGATTTCCGATTGATTATTGAACCCAATATCTGTCAACAAAAGTGGGTTTAATGTCGATAATGACTGCCCGGCCACACCGTAGACGGTTGACAGATAACGCCTTTTAGCGTAGAAAGAGTGGAGTGCAAAAGGAGCGACGGTGGTGCAACGGCTTAGCACATGCTTCCGAGAAGAGTAAGATCTGGGTTCCAATCTCGGCTGACGCAAACGTTTTAGCACGCCGCTCTACACCATTGGGTTTATTTAAATTTTTGATTAAATGATTGAATTTTGCACTGTCAAAGGTCCATATTGGTGCGCGAGCCGAAAATGAGCAGAGCTCGTATGATCCACATCGTTTTACCCGTAAGCGTTCAGTCGGGATTAATAGTTTGTCAAAGTATTTGATGATTATGCTGACACTCGTTTCAACGGAAACGCCACGGCATTATTAGGTCTTCTATACAAGTTTCGTACGCAAGTGCATGTGAGTTATAGGTGTAAATCGTTGCCCTAAATTCTCAAACTTTACAGGACCTGGTATGGCTTTAAAACTTTACAACCTCTCCCTACTCGTCGTTCTGAGCAATGTCGAAGGCTCATTCAAGGTCAAAAGAGTGGGGACCAATTTTTTTGCTCTGTTTTACCCCTATTATTCAACGTATAGCTTGTTGAATTCTGATGATGCTTGCTGATGGGTAGTTTACCAATATCTTCTAAGGAGAAAGTTTATTTGGTAGGAACAGCTCTCAGATTTTAGTGCATTTTCTTTCTACTTGAGTGCAGGATTTTGGCCGACTTTACTATTATTCGTAGACTTTGAATGTGATATCACTGTACCATAACAGTACTTCCATCTTTGTAGAGAGGAGGTTTGACGAGACGATGAGAATCAATGACGCCAACACTTTGGAAATGAGAAGAAAAGCTTAAGAAACTAATCTTGATTCAAAGCTTCACGAGGTATCTATCTTTTTCCCAATGGATTGTTCTTCTTTCCGGCCGATGGATTTTCGCGGTTGCTTGTGGCTGACGTTACGGCAAATACGCCTTCTTCGGAGCTGTGCAATCTAGTCTAGGGAGTGTTGGTCTAGGACGCCAACATTATTCACAGCCACTTTTCAGATCGTCGCGTGAACATTGAAATAAAGTAAACTCAATAGTTGAAAAGTGGGTCCTTCTCTCTTTGCTAATAGCATCGTTCTCAAATTACCAAGCATCAGCCAGGCAAAGCGAAGGTGACCGACGTGGACAATGCTTGTGGAAAGAATGGTCGCTAACCGAATGGTTGCTTCTACCTCTTAACTAGAAGTGATCCGACGCTCAAACTGCCCCAGCGATCCAAAACCAGAGCCGCCAATCTGCGCGCTAAGCCTTCGAAGATAAGGTGAGAGGAACACGTAATTGGTATTTGAGGATAATTGGTTTTCGGGACCTGTTACCTACCGGATTTCAGAAGTTTTAAGCACATAATAATGATACCACATGGTATGGTGCGATTTATCTACAAAAGCCCCAGGGAAAATAAATGGTGTTCAACAATTGTCTGCAGCTAGAAAAACCTACTGGGGCTCTTTTACGTGGAAAGAGAAAATTGAAGCTTTGCTGAAACGTCCCGAGCCACCTGACGGTAAGTTGGACAGCACATGATAGAAGTTATGGGCGATGTACAGTATAGTATTGTGAGACAACATTAGTAGAGATATATTTGTAACATCATGAGATAAATAAAAAGAGTTTTTTATTGAAAATGCATATGTCCAAATCTGTCAGCCTGAAGGTGTTCCGATATCGGTTAGACCGTTGACGAGTGGTTGCTGACACATCGATACAATTGTGGAAGGAAGAGTGATACGAGAACGAGCGCCGGTGGTGCAATGGCTAGCACGCAGCCCTGGAAACAGTAGAATTCTGATTCGAACCCCGTTTCACGCTCAACATTTTGTACATCATTGAGCATGAATATAATTTTCAACATTATGCAACCGATAAGGCTGTAAAATGAGAAGAATTGCCATGATGGAACAATTGTAATTCTGTGCTCTTTCATAAGAAAGTTTCCTAACTCAATGATCAAAATCCGTTAATTTGGTATAGTATCGCATAGAAAATACGGGGACATACTATACAGAGATTGTTAACAGTTTTAGTAAAGCGGCACAAAAGTCTATAACACGGAATCGTCTAAACACGGAACTGCTTACACAAAAGTGCGATAGCGCAAACCGCTTAGTCAGCTTCAACCGCTCGTAAAAGACTATAACAGGACCTACGACTACGCAGTGCTGACGGTGTTCTCTATTTGTCATTAATGGAATAGACGAAATGGATGTTTAGTTCGTTCAAGTCAAAGAATTTCCTCACATTTTGAGAAAACTGAAATTTGTTTCACACACACACATCACTCTTTATCGAGACACGACTCTCATAATGATGAAAATGTGTTCAAGGCGATTTCCCTATTCGTAAGAGAGAGAGAGTCGTCAGTAAGGAACACTTCGCAGTCCCAAAGTCAGTCACCATGTGTTGCTCTGCTTTTATATAGATTAGATAGATTGAAAGACAAGTGCTGCTGTCGTCTATTAGAAGAATATTCCAAACGCGCGGAGTTCTCTCATATGAAAATATGACATTCTATGATTCAGATTGTTGTTTTCTGTGAGAACTTTGAACTATCCTCAAAAACTTAAGATTCTAATCAAATTGAGTTTATCGCTTATCGTAAGTAAACTACTGTTCGGACTTTGTGGTGATCTTTCCAAACATTTCCAGAAATGATATAGACCACTGATATGTAACACCGCTGGTTGTCGATGCTTTATAAACATCCACGTTGACGATAAACATAGAACGTTCAAGAAGGTAAACGATGAAGCTTCTCTTCGGCGTCACCACACTTTCTGTAATAACCTCGTCCACTGAACATTCCCAATTCTATGCATTGAAAATGTCCTCAAAGTGAAGGATTTTTTCTCACGATTAAATTCGATGTTATCATGCAAATGTTTCACTTACGATCAGTTTCCTTACAGCTTCTCGTTTGCTTGCTGACGCTGTTACATTCCCGGTCAACTGCCATCACCCATATCTCCAAAATCTTTAAAGAAATTTTGCCGAAGTTTCTATCAAATTATATTGAATTCTTGAGCGAGATCTCAAAATAGACGTTTGAAAGTGTTGATATGCATACATATATGTGTATAAATGCGTATATAAATAGATAAAAATATATATATATATATACATATACTGGAGTAGGCCGTAAGCAAAGGGCAACTGACGATCAATCGCTCTGTAAGAACTTCATCTTGGGTGATCTTTTCACCTAACGCAAATTGTAGCTAATACGGCAGCGATTCTCTATAATAGTAGGTGCAATTAGCCGAGTGGCGTGTGCTACTGATGAGGTTTGCGAGAAAGTCGACACATGTGTTTAGCATGCAAAATGTCAAACCAGACTTCTAAAAGGCTTGAAAAAAATCTATCAGATTATATTGTGCATAATTTTATAAGCATCAGTCTCCCTCTCCATCGACAAAGAGATATCAGAGGCGTACTAGTTGTAAGAGGAGTGAGAGTATGACAACTCAACATGCGCGATTGCTGCATCATAGAAATTCGTTGCCAAGCGGTTTCCTTGCACATTGTTTTGGCAGGCGATACATTCTATAAATTTTGTCATATAAATGCGCTTGCAATTTCAGCGTTTTGTCGATTTTATGCAATTTATCCCTGAAATAGTCGCAGTTTTATGTCGCATCACTACAACTATGCTTTTAAATAGGTTGATTCTTGATCACTTCACTCCAGCTACGAAATAACACATTTTCTAGAATTTCTGTTTGGCAGGCCGTTCTACGCAGCTTGTTATTCATCACTTGACACGGCTTCTACACCTAACCGAATTTTCCGTGTTTCAGTAAAATCTATCATAAAACGTTCTTTGAAAAGCATTGTCTGAATCAAGTAAACTGGAAACCACTGAAATAACTATCTTTTACACTATGAATGTCCTGATGCAAAAAAATGGTAAGCTTGCTTACATTTGAATTTGCAACTCCTGCTTTGCTTTTTAGGGAGTAAAAGTAATGTATGCCACTAACATGGTAAGACATTCCAGTCCCTTCATAATTTTGCTGCTGGCCACAATCCCTACTGTGTTTGGATGTGGAGTGTTGCCTGCTGGTCAAGGTAATGAATAGACTATGTAATTACAGACATTCTCAGTCCTAGACGGAGATTTAAGGATTAATATCAGAATGATTATGTTTGATATTTCACCAGTTCTCTAGAGCCGCCAGAACCGTGCACCATAATGGATTACTTTAGGAATTATTGGTAAAAAAAGGGTTAGAAACTCGCCAAATATAGTAATATCTTTTGCTTTGTTTCCCATAAAAACAACGAGATTCCACTTCAGAGAGCACTAGAGCCTTCACCGTCACTGGCTTCACTTTGCCTGTTGCCATGGTTTACTCTACCGCAAGTGGTGCTTCAGCCCAGGTGCCTGGTATTGCAACTAGCGAGGCAGGAGCTAAGCGATTTGTTGAACGCCTTATAATGCAAACAGTGAGCAACAACTCTAATATCTCAAGAGTCTTCGGATTTTTCGTCTCGAGCTTTTCTGAGAGTTCACCTAAAACAGTATGTAATCTGATAACATGTTTTTGAGCCTTTCATAAGATTTCTTATGGCACTCATAAATTCGACACGTGCTTATGCCAATTGCCATAACAGGCCTCATGATCGGCTCAAAAACATGTGATTGAATTATATATTGTTTGAGAGCGGTCTAGGAAAACTCAAAACTAAAGGTGTAACAATCTTGTTTTACCAACCGCGAGCATTCGAGTGTGCAACACTGCCCGTTTAATGTTTTCCACTCTACGGCGTGTAAGCATTTCGCTGTCAGTTCCTTCAGATAGAGAATTTTCCGGCGCAAGTGACTGAACCGAAAGACACCGTGCAACCAACTAGGCTGTATTGCTAAAACACGTGCCTTTCACTGTACAAGTGCTATAACAGACCTCATGAACGGCTCAAAAGCATGTTACTAGTTGTCTTATTTTCAACGATATTCGAAAACGTGTATGAAGTAAGCTTGAATGTTCTGACAATGAGGTCAGTCTCTTAGTATCGATATGACTTTTAGCATTTCACATCACTAAGAGCATTTTCAAATAAATTTTTGAACTGGAGGTAAATTTGTTTTCAGGTCTTCGACGTT